GAAGATCTTACGCTGATTTTCGCATATTTAGAGCGACCCACACGAGACATGGATGGGATGTTCCCATGTATAAAGTTTATTGAAGTTGGAGCTTAAATGAAAGTGATCAACCTATCCACTGCTATCCCAGGGGAGTTTGTTCCAATTCCCTCTTTATTTTTCTGTCTTTATGCATAATATGCAATGAGGGCATTGCATCACATAAGTGTGGGGTAGGGGGTTGGTTACATAATAGTCAAATTTTAATACAAGTTGGTGAATTCAAAGATATCAAAGGTCAAATTATCAAGCAAGTGAAGAATTCAAAGAATTCCATAGTGGTATTGAAAAGTTGTAATTCTAGATTATGTATGCTTGGGTTGCTCAATTAAAAATACCTTGAGGGTAAAGAGGTTTTCTGAGGAATGCATATATAAAGATAACTCCACAAATCGAGAAGAGAGAATTCTGGGAAGTTTCATAAGTGCTTAGCTGCGAATAAGAAGCCAGAAGAACCCTAGAAGTCGACCAAGGAAGTTAGAATCCAATCCTGGGAGTAATTAAGGCATAATTTCACCATTCTACTTAATTCTTTTGTTTTGTCAACATGATTAAGCAACTTGAACTTATTTGTTTGTTGTTATTTACCTTAGTTATGAACTAAATTCTTTAGACTTCTGTTTAAGAATACAAAGTTGACAATATGGTTTGATTGATTGGTAGGATTAATTCCAAATTGGTGATTAATTGTTATTTTAGCTTGCTAAAGAACCTTGTGTATGAATGATAATTAATTTTCTGTTAATAGGAAGATAATTGATTAGCATGAACATCTATTGATTATCAACCTCATATGATATGTGACCACTATACCATATGTCTAGGATTAATGAACATGAAACTAGGATTAATAAGGAAATTGAGTAAACTCATGTGCAAGCTTGTAAGATGACCATCAAACAAGAGGTTAATTAAGAATAACAAATTAATTAGCTATTGCAAGTCTAACTTAACCCGAATAATTAATCTAGTAAATATAATTAAATTAAGCAATTGGCCACTGTTTGAATTAGTTAATTTGCTAAGGATTAGGGTAGTGAACACAAACCTAATCACTTGAATCGGTAACCAACGAAAGAATTAATCCATTGCACTATTACCCTAAAATCAACCATAAAGTTAACCGAGTTGAACTAAACAAAAGTTTCTTTCCCATTATTGAATCTAGTTAATTTGTTCTTTTCTAGTCTTTCATTAGTTTTAGTTAGTAAGTTTCTAGTCTTGTAAAACTAGAGAAAAAACCCTCATTTGCTTAATCAACTTAGATAGAATTAGTTTTTAATTTAATTTGCCGTTCCTTGTGTTTGATACCCTGCTTATTTAGCTATACCACAATTGATAGGTTCACTGCCTTTTGTGTGTTATTTGATAATTAAAGTAGGATTAAAACTAAGTGAGTTTTACACACATCAAGGCTTAAAGTCCTTGACTTTATGGAGTAAGGGCTATTAGGGAGGCTAGATCCCAAAGAGGAGTTAAGGTCTTAACGGGTTATGACCAAGAAAAAGGACTAAGCAAAACTGCGCGTACGCCCAACCTAAATCCTTGTACGCCCCGCATACTAGGCTGGTGCCCCGATCAGTTTCATACATGAGTGTGTACGCTGAGCGTACCAAAGGGGGTATGCCCCACGTAACCCCACTGTGGACTTTTTGGCGGAATATGGTATTGGGACTTGAGAGTTGGGCCTGGAAATTTTCAATGAGGTATTAGAGAATTGAGCTGAGAAATATTATATTTAGGCTTGGGTCCTTGAGTTGGACTTGTCATTGGGTTGGGAGTTGGGCCTTGGAGAACCCATTTATTATTGGGCCTTGGTGGGCCCAATGAGTTTCAGGTTATTGATGGGCTGGTTAGTGGACTACCTCTAGACCTAATAAGTGAGAGTTTGGACTTAGTTCCCAATTGGGATAATTGTAGGGTCGGCACAGAGTTAGTGACTGGTGCATAGCAGCAGCGTCTTAAGGAGTTGTTCATCATCCGAGGTGAGTCTTCTCACTATACATTACCTAGAGTGGTATTTATGCATGACCGGAAGGTCTTATGTGCTTTTTTGTGTTATGCATCTTGTCTATGTAATATTATGCTATGACTTGTTTAGACCGAACCGGAAGGTCCAACGATATGTGAGGCCGGAAGGCTCAACCAGACCGGACTGGGAGGTCCAACGATATGTGAGGCCAGAAGGCTCAACCAGACCGGACCGGAGGGTCCATCGAGCTAGACTGGACTAGAGGGTCCAACGAGCTACAGGACTGGAGGGTCCCGCTGAGACACATGGACCGGAGGGTGTTACAGAGTAGAGCCTTGAGTGGCGAATTTGTTGTATGTGGTATTTTGGGAAACTCACTAAGCTTCATGATTACCGTGTTATGTGTTTCAGGTTTCTCAGGATCGTGGGACGGCACCGGCTTGATTGTACACACCAGAGAACAGTTATGTTTTGAGGATCCTGGATTAGTAATTAAGCAAACATGGAGTTGTGTTCTGTAAATTGAATAAACGAGTTTTTTTTATATAATACGTTATGAAAAGTATGCGATTTTTAAATGAAAATTTTGTTTGAAAATTTACGGTGTTACAACAAGTAAGGTTTAAACTTGGGAACATTTAATAATTATCATTTTATGCATCTTTTATATTAGTTTTTAATAGTATTTTGCTTAATATTTTATGCTTAAATGATTGCATTCATTTAAATAATCGACAACTCATGTATTTCTTAAGAATTCTCGTACTACTCTAGTCTTGGTGTATATTTCATGTAATTTAAAGTAGATTGGTAGTTTGAAAGTATCTGGAGCATATCTAGAGCTTATATGGAGTTGAAACGCTAGAAATACCAAGCATATGTCGTGTTCCACCTCTGGAGAATTTCTAAATTTTGATATCTGTGAAGCTTAAGCACAGTCCGTGCTTCCTTCCCGAAGTGATTTTTTCTAATTTCCTCAAATTTTCAAGCTGCGATGAGAAAGCAAGACCTTGACACCCCAAGCACGACCTATACTTCATGCTCGTGCTTCGAAAAATATCCAAAATAGCAATGTACTTCATTAAACACGAAAACAAACGTATTTTACTGAAAGCATGGCGTGGCTTCGTAATAGCTCGGCGTTCCCATGGCGGGTTTTCCAAGATGTGTCGTCTGATGATGTTTTCTTGCACATAAATACCCCTATTTGTTCCCGATTTAGGAGAAACGATCAGTAACCCTTTCCAAATGGGTTTTGAGCGCGATTTTCACTTTTTCATCGATTTCTAAAGATCTTAAGACTTTGGAAAGACTGTCTCAGTTAGTTTCGTAAGATCTAATTTTTTTTATCTTTCTTTTTATTAGATTTAGATCTTAATACCCATGTCTGGATAATAACCCTAGATTTCAATTCTGCAAAAGATCAGTATTTTTTATGTGATTAATCATTACATTTGGTTTTTAATTTGCGATTAGATCTAGTTGTTTTAGTTGTGTGTTTCGTGAATGTTTGATTTTTAGCTCGTTTTAGGCTAATCACATGATTAGGATTAAATCATTTAAGCTAATCAGTTATTAAAATTTGTAATTGTTTTAATCAACGGGTAATAAGTAATAAATAACATATCGGTTATACTTTGGGATTTGATTTTGTTAAACTAAAAATCATATATTGTTATGCTTTTGAGATTCTGAGAGGTATTGAATATTATTAAGAATTTTCCATTGTTCATAATGTTGCTTTTCCGATTTGATTAAGATTTTTTTTTCAATTAAATTATTAAAAAGTTAGGATTAACAAAATATCTTTTTTGGTTAATTAATTAGGTAAGAGAGAGTTTACTACAACTTGTTAGTAGTTTTCAGTACAACTTAGATAGAATGCATCTTATATAATTAGATATGGATTAATTGCATAATTAGAAGAGTCGTTGCAGAGCTGAAACTCTATTTAATACTTTTATGTTATTAATCATTAGATTTGTTTTTTAATTTGTGATTCTATCTAGTGGTTTTAGTTTTGTTCTTAATGAATGTTTGATTTTTAGTTCGTTTTAGACTAATTACCAGATTAGGATTAAATCATTTAAGTTAATCAATTATTAAAATTCATAATTTTTTTATCAACTGGTAATAAGTAATAAATAACATATTGGTTTCGTGTTAGGATTTGATTATGTTATAAACTGAAAATCACATATTTTTATACTTACAAGCTTGTGAAAAGTATTGAATGTTACTGGGAGGTTTAAATTGTTCATAATGTTGCATTTCTTATGTGATTAAGTGCTTGTCTAATTAAGTTAGTAAAAAGGTGAGGATTAACTGAAGAGAAATTTTTTTGGTTAACTAACTAGGTAAAAGAGAACTTACTTGAGTTTGTTAGCAGTTTTGAGTACCAGCTTAGATAGAATGCTTCTTAAATAATTAGATCTAGAATAACTGAATAATTAGGAAAGTCACTACATAACTAAAACACTCTTTATTAATGAATTTTATTTATTTGATTTCTTTAATTTTTTTGTTTTAATTCTAAACAAAAATCCCACTTTTTTCAAGTTGTGTTATATGTCTAATTTGTGGTTTGCACAAAGAGACATTGACTGTAAGGCCGTGTCTTTCTGGACTCGACTCTACTTTCCTGCCCATTAGTGCAACCAAGCAGTGATTTTAATTTGTCAAGACGTTAACGACGTGTTTAACAGTGCTCCCTCTCTCTATTCTCTCTTCTCAACTTGTACCATTTGTATCAATATTCGTACCATTATGTGTGGGCATGGAAGTTTCCATTCCTTATGTTTAGGGTTAGGAGGGCTGCAAGTGAGAGGAGTAAGAATAAGTAGATTTAGAGCAAGTATTGCATCATCGTTGGGAGGTTAAGAGGGATAGACACCCACCACACTTATAAAATATCTATAACAAAAACTAACGTTGAATCAAACATAAAAAATAGTATAACACAACAGCATATTTGTAATTTAGTTTTTATTCAATGAATAAAAATAGGTAACAAGGTTATCAAAGTTTGCATATCTATATAGTTCTCGGAATTATGCTTAAGAACCTCCTCGACATCATATAACAATAAATTATTGATATGTTTTAGAGATGCTTATATGTCAACAAGAAAACATATATGCATACACACAATCACACACTCACTCATACACACACCATGGTAATCATAAATGTGTGTATTGAAACCTATTTCTCCACACATGGTTTATCTAAAACCGAACATTTGATGTGGTGCAATGATATTTCAAGGTCATCACATAACTTTTGGGGGTCGGGTATAGTTTCTTCCTCTGCTGATAGCACAAATGTAACTTTGTCAACATAACTGATTATATGAATCATTAATCCCTGTATAAAGCAAAAAAACTCATAAATTCTAAGCTTCCTTTAAATGGGTTGGTTGTAATAACTATTAAAAAAATTAATCATCCCAAAAAAAGTTAAGCATCCTTACACATGGTAGGCCATAAATACTAGGAGCAAGATAGGTAACTTTTTGTTGGAGAAAACACAATTCTTCTTTTGGTCCAGGCATATTTGAGAAGCCAAACGTCGTGTTATAGTAAACTTTACGATTCAACTTTCCTGCAATCTATATATGTAATAATTTTTAGGGGCTGTTTTGTTAATTTTAAATGATTTTGCATTGAATGATTCACTAGCTTTGAATGAAAACATGTTTGATGTGGTTGGTAAGATTGTTCAATATATAAATAAAACCAAATAATAAAAAAGCAACTTAATAATTATAATAAATGACAAATAATATATATATATATATATATATATATATATATATATATATATATATATATATATTAAGGGGGTGTTTGGATAGGAAAAAAATAGGCTGTTTATTGCTTATTACTTAATCGCACCGCCATAAGCAAATTTAAGTGTTTGAATAAGAATCTTTAAAAATCAGCTTATTGCGGTATTAATAAGCTAAATAAGCTGATTTTATGGGGAGGGGGGATGCTTATAGGTTAATGATCATTTTATTCATATAAGTTGTTTTGTATGCCAAACACTTAAAATGTTTATTGTTTATTACTTATTCCGACTGCAATAAGCTAATCCAAACACATTTTAAAAAAATGTTTATTCTCACAGCAATAAGCTAACAAGCTAAAAACTATTTATCCAAACACCCCCTAACAAGACTTTTAGATTATATATGTCAGGGTATATATTATACTAGAGTATACCATAATTGCAAAAGGGGATGTCGTTGGGTTGTTTGGAAACACCATCCGTTTTAGTGTAATTTTAAGACTGCGGTGGCCAACCGACGTGCGACAAATACATAGGAAATAAGAAATTAGACCTACGGACAAGAGGAGCAAGGGGCGTTCGCAAATGGATGATAAACTAATCGGGAAAAGGGAACAAGTGAAAGTGATGACAAGTGGTTGGAACCTTTTCGTCTTTGTTCATTGCTTACAGATCCAAATTCTCTTGTTTCTTGTAATTGGTGTTAGGACTTATTTGTCAGAACTCCTCAAAACATCGGTCACACGAAAAGACAAAGAATAACGAAGAGAAAGGACATGGGAAAGGGGTGGATAAGGAAAATAATGGTTCAAATGAGGTGTAAATATTGAACTGTTTCAGAGAATTTTGTGACCCTTATGAAGAACTTTGGTTAACCGAATAGCTTGAATGTTAAACCCACTTCAACCCACTCCCATCCCCCCCAAATGGAGTAAAAAATGGGGTAAAAAATGTTTCATCTTCAACCCTACTCCATTTTCATCCCATTTTTACCCCAAAAAAATATATTCCATTTTTATAACTTACATAAATTGTCAAACACACCTCTTCTATTAATTTGATCTTAACAAATATATAATCTATATTTTTTCATTACAATAATATAAAATAAATAAGATTATATTTATAATAAGTAATTATAAGCTTTTGTAAAATATATTATTGTGTTTTAAAGTATCAATATATATTTAAATTTTAATATGAATTTGATAAACAAAAAATACACTTTATATTTATAATTAATTAATATAATTTAATATGTAACACAATATTATAAGTATTAAATATTGCATTTAAATAAAAATTAGTAGATAAAAAAACAGAAATGTATAAATATATAAAACGAGGGATTAAAATCGACGACTCAAAGTTCATCTCCATTTTGGGGGGAAGGAATAGTATAACACCAAATATGGTATTATACTATTCATTTCCCCAAAATGGGGGAATAAATGGGGGTGGGTTGGAGAGGAATGAGAGAAGAAATGAGGAAAAAAATGGAGAATGGGAGTGGGTTGGAGATGCTCTAAAAGATGAAACAAAAGACCTTTTAATTAGTTCTTTTTATATCTATTGTTTAAATCTTAATTATAAATCTTTAATATTGTTGCCCATTTCAAAAACTATAATTTAATCTAATTAAGATATACTAGCTAGTTGCTGGAAATTCTTCTTTTTGCAATAACGGGTTTTTGAGAAAGCTAGAAGCATGTATAATGTTTAAAAGTTTGATCAATCAAAATAACAAAAATGAGTTATGATATATGGTTATCTTTTTAAAACCATTAATCATAAAGTTTATGAAACATTGTACTTGTATAAATGTATCAAGTTATGCTCGCAACTAGTTGCTATAATAACCATTTTCTTTTATTTTGATTAGTTATCACCAATTTCTTCTTGTTGTGATAAATAAATAAAAAAATCCCGGATTCCCGCACCTAAATAAGTAAGTAATTTTTTCTAGGCAAAGCAATTGTCCATGTATATATAGATCAAGTACCTTTATACCAAACAACTTCGGGACCAATGTCTTAGCAAAGAATCTAGTAGCAAATGGCTCAAAAGAAGCTTTCCTGCGTTCCATGATAGCCTTTGCTTCCCGTACATAGTCTAAGGGGTCACTTCTATTTTTGACGTTGAATGGAAGTAGTATATAACCTACCTTGTATCCCCATGTTTCGTCTTCATTTGTATTCTTTTTAGCAGCCTAGTATATATACATCGTACATACATAAAATTGTTCAGCAAGCAACAATTATATGATAAGACATTCTTCACACACAACAGTAAGGAAGGAAGATACTCACATCAACATTCACAGAGGCTCGCAAGTTATAAGACATCATTGCACGAAGGAGAATGTTTTCTGGAACAGGACTATTTTTCTCTTCTGTAACAGGTTTCAAGTTATGTTATTAATTATTCGTAATTTTTTTACTTTATACAAAAAGAAACTCACCATATCTCCCCTTAAGGTAACGGTTGAAACCAGCTTGTACAATTCCAACAATTACATCATTCACAGTCTACAAAACAAGTATCGGAGAACACGTAATATTGTAATATGTACATATTATAAGTTTTTGTAATGTTATTATTTTTATTACAATAGACGCGCTATTAATGTGGGTTTATTTGGACCTTTTTAACAATTGTGTTTAAACTAAATTCAAATACTTATCGATAATTAAGATTTGTGATGATATCATTGCCATAGAGCATCCAAATGCAAAATTTAAGAAAAAATATATACTTACAGCATTCATAGCGTTTTTCACCAACTTTATGTCAGCAAAGCTAACACTTCGAGTAACAATGCGCCGACGTCTATCTTCAACACCAGGTGAGGCTTTCATAGGTGTTTCTGTGTCTTTTAGAAACATGGTAGTGAACACAAACAACATAAACGCGACAAAAGTGTTCCAAAGAACCATACAAAAGGAAATAAAACTAGTAGCTTTGGTGGTATGATGATGAGCCCTCTTATTCATGGCAAGTGTAGTCAATGCCTCGGGATCCGAGGCTTTTGGACTAAGCGAAAGCAACATATTCATAAACGACAGACCATCACCAAGTGAGTGATGAGCGCGATAGATGCATGTGGCTTGTGCATCCGAGGTTCTTGCGTTGAGGATGTGTATATCCCATAAGGGTTTCGAGTTGTCAATACAAGATACAGTAAGATTTGAGACGTAATCTTCTACGAATTTATCTGCTAATTCCATGTTTTGATCGATTTCTGGAATGATAAGATGGTCATCTATGTTTACATGTGTGGGAACCCAGTTCATGCTCCCACTTTCTTTATCTTTAACCTGTGTATAACAACCAATGAATAATATTTCACACAGTTGAATTAAAGACTGAAAAAAAAAGTTTCATTCTTAAACTCTAGCTTATAATGCATAAGAAGGTGGATAAAAAAATACTATCGTTCTTTAGTTTAGTAGCATACCACCACTTTAGAGAAGCAAGGATATTTTGCAACCATCTGAATACAAAAGTCTCTAGCTGCGTCGATATGGATTGTGGAGTTTACACCAATTTTAGTGAGGATGTAGATATTAAAACCTGGCTCATGAAAAAACCTAGACCCAGAACTCAATGGCTCATGCTCATGATTGCCTTCTCCCTCCTTGAAGTCCACATATCTTACTGTATCTTTCATGGTTTTTGAACCTTTAAGAAGGTTTAAGCTTGGTGATTTACCCATGATCCTTGATGATCTAATTAATAGAACTAAGTACTTCCGCAAAGGGATCGATATGTATATGGATATAAGTATACAATTGCACGGCTCAATATATGCATAATGAACCCTTTTATACACACACACCGAAAGAGATCAACGTTATAGCATAATAAATTATGTAATGGGCTTCTTTTCAAGAATGTAATGCGAATTTATGTTTCGTAGTTAGAACAACATTTAAGAAATCCTCACATAATGAGTTAGGTACCCCTATGCTTGCAATAACTGTGCCGTTGTAGAAAAAAAAATGTAGTATTTGATATTAGGTATTGCCATTTAGGTCATTAATAGTTGTAAACGCCGTCCTAAAGAAATTAAGAGGCGTAAATGGTTTGAAGACAATTAATAGTGTGGGAGAATTGATTGAGTTTGCTAACACATGGGGAAGGTGCTCTAAGCAAACAAAGTTATTGACTTTATTTTGCACCGATGTGGGAAGGTTTTGCAGTTTTCGACTAATATCTATTTACGTTCCTCCTGATTAAAGCTATATTTCTTTTTTGGGAACAAGAAAACAAAAGACATCAAAAATACTAATTTCTTTGGCTTTTTAACAAAATATTTTATTCCACGTAATTGTTGTTCTTACCAAAGTTTTGAAAATGGGACCCAGTACCAAACCGGACTGATTTGATGGGTCAACCTGTCGGACCAATCCAAAAAAACCGGATAATATCATTATTACATTATTATTATACTTAAAATTATAAAATATTAAAAAATATATATATATGTAAAAATAAATTACAAAACAAAAATACCAATAAATATAAGTCTTCGACATTAAATAAAAATATCAAACATACAAATTAACATGAAAATAATTCACGAAAGTTGATGGATGTTGCTTTTAGTCTTCAAAAGGAACAAAATTCACAATATCAACATCAAAATACCATAAAATGTATAAAAAAATTAAACTTGATTACATTCAAATCTTCATCTAAAGAAATCTATGTCAATTTCATCTAACATAACCCAGGCATCATCTTCAATACCAAATAATGATATAATTTTAGCTAAAATCAAACTCAAATAGAAGAATAACAATAATATTGATAGAATAACTTACAATACTAAACTTGAGAATTGGACATTAGGTTTAGCATTTCGGTGTGTGTCTGGTTGTTGCGATTACGAGTTTGGGAATTTCATTTGTTTGATGATTTTTAAGAATATCACAAAAAAAATAAAATAAAATAAAATAAATCAAAAAACGGATTCTGAAGGCAGTTCAACCAGGTCGAACCACGGTTCAAACAAAACTGTTGTTTATTATGGTTTGTTGCACAAGCAGTTTTTGGAAGCAAAAAATCGCAACCACTAATGGTTCCCAATTGGTCGAATAGTCTGATCCGATCCGGTTTTCAGAACAATGTTTTTTACTCTCATATATATATATATATATATATATATATATATATATATATATATATATATATATATATATATATATATATATATATATATATATATATAAGCACACAGTTTTAGGTTTGGTCTGTGTGGTTCAATTGAACTATATAGTTCAATTGAACTATCAAACCACTAATACGACTGGTTCGATATCCAGACCGTTTTTCAAAACATTAGATTTTCACTTTCTTCGGTCTCTAACCTTCCGTAATTACACGTTGAACACATTTGACACGAGATATCAATACCTACATGGGTATTGTTAAATTTAAATATATTTTTGTGTAGTATATATTTTTGTTCGTTATAAATAATTTAAAAATATGAAAAAACAAGTTGCCTTCCAACAAAAAGGTGTATTTTAAAAATAAAATAAAAGGGTACATAGAAGACCCAGTCTTAATATATTACCTCGAAAACTAACCTTATCATATATCAAACCATATATATGTTAAACTTGATTATAAAACCATTTATTAACCTAAACATATATATTTACGATAAAATGCCCATAATATCTAATCTCCTCAAACATTTTCTAGAATATAGCTAAAAATACAATATTGCTAAAAATAGCCATTATTTTCACATTTGATGACCTGTGAAATTTGCATTTGTTGTCAACATCAAACTGTTACACTGGCGGATGGTGGAATCACCGGGATGAACGACATCAATTGAATATTATAGTCAAAATATACATGAACAATACATAATAGCAAAAAGTATCAATATTAAGGATTACCAAATGTGTCTTACATAAATTCAAGTATCATTATAAATGTCCATTGATGCAAACAGTAGCGATAAAATATTATCATAAATACTTATAAAACTAGCATTTTTTCTTTAATTTCATGCATTTGAAACTTCCATATACTTTTTCTTTACACCATATTCATTTGAAACTCTCATGACTTTTCAATTTCTTTCTAATAATAATTATAATTTGGTTAATTAGGTTAAATAATTATCAAACCTAACGTGTAATCATATATAAACTAAATTTCAATATTAAAATAATATATTCACTTCTACTAATAAAGTTATGTTTTTTAACTTATAACATATTATACTTAATTTATTAGTTTTAATATATTGTTAGATGTAAACCCTTATCATTTTAAATATACAGTTTTGGAATAATTTGTATAAAATACTAAAATTATTAATTTAAATATAACATTATAGGGTCAACTTAAATATAAATTTTAGTTTAAGTTATATAACGCAAAGAATATTTTGTAAATAGTTAAACGTGGTAAATTATAGTGTCTTTCTAATAATTATTATAAGTTGGTTATTAATGTTAAATAAATATCAAATCTAAAGTGTAATCATAATAAACTAAATTTTAATTTTAAAATAATATCTTTTACTTCTACTTATAAAGTTATGTCTTTAAATTTTAAAATATTATAATTAATTTATTAGATATAATATATTGTTATATGTAAACCATTATCAGTTTAAAGCTACAACTTTTGAACAGTTTGAACAAAATACTTAAATTGTGAACTTAAATATAATATTACAATGTTAACTTAAATATAAATTTCAGTTCCACTTAAAAAACTAAATAATATTTTGTAAATAGTTAAAAGTAATAAATTCAAAAACTAAATTGTAATCTCAATTTAACTAAAGTATTTCTTAAATATATTTTTATAATCGTTATATGTTTTCAAATAAGTAGCTTAAAATAACAGTAATTAAAAATAACTCTATATAAATGATTATATTGTTAACTTTAAAATAAAAAAATAATGTTTGATGTTTTAAATAACTATATTGATAGAAATTAAAACATTCATGAAATAAATTTTAAAAAATTAGTTAACAATTATAATAACTATAAATAGCATTAAATCATATATTATATTTAATTTTATTCATGTATAAATCGCGGGTAGAAGTCATTCAAACGATTGAGATTATAAAGTTGTAATACATGTTTATATTATCATATAATTCAAAATAATAAATATATTATATCAATTTAGTATAATAATTATTATATCAAATTTAAGAACAACGTTATTGTTACATTTAAGAAAAAAAAAAGATATATTTGTTAAAACTTCAACTATATAGGTGTTTCTACGTATTACAATGTCAACTTAAATATAAACTTCACTTCCACTTAAAAAAGAAAATAATATTTTGTAAATAAGTAAAAGTGATAAATTATAGCGATAAATGCAAAAACTAAATTATAATTTCAATTTAACTAAAATATTTCCTAAATTTTTTTATAATCGTTAAAAGTTTCCAAAAAAATATCTTAAAATAACTTACAATAACAATAGTTAAAAATAAATGTATAAAAATGATTATATTGTTACCTTTAAAATCAAAAAATAATGTTTGATGTTTTAAATAATTATAATGATTGAAATTAAAACATTAAGCAAATAAATTTAAAAAAAATAATAATTAACAATAACAACAACTATAAATAACATTAAACTGTATATTATGTTTAGTTTTACCTATGTGTAACTCGAAGGTAGAAGTTATTCAAACGATTGAGATTAAGAACTTATAATAGATGTATATATTATCATTTAATTCAAAATAATCAATATATTATATCAATTTAGTATAAAAATTATTATATCAAATTTAACAACAACGTTACTGTTATATTTAAAAAAACATATATTTGCCTTACTAATATATGTATTAATATACGCCAATAACATATTGTTGGTGAATTCTATATGTTTAGACTACATTTACTTTTAGAACCATAAGTATAATTTTATAAAAAGGTTTTTGAATATCAGAAAAGAAATCATGTTGTACCTTTCTAATTATGTTAAAAATTATCCGCTTCACCAAAATGATTTCGGAAAAAATGGAGTTTTTTATATACGAAACTTATTAATTATAAGTTTATGAGCATTTTCTAGTCGCGTCGTAATATTAATTAATTATTATATCTTAATTTGTAAATTGACACTTATCTTTTTGAGTCACAACTTTCTCACTACATAGAATCTCTTTCAACTTGTATAAGTGAACAAAACCATGTATAAATCATATTTAAATTCTCTACAGCAACCAAATGATTCAGGTGTCTATAATGAGCTAATACATGAACTATGACATGAAACCCCTACACTAGTACTACAAAGGGGCGTGTTGAAAGTCCACATCTATGCATTATCAACGCCGTGTAAAAAGTAGAGCTGAAATGTCAACACCCAAATCGACTCATCAAACGATGGTTGTAGCTAGCAATCGTTGGCAGGGATGTATACCCGTATAAATCTAAGCAATCATCGTATACTTGTCGTTCCTCGTTCCATATGGATTAACATGGTTATATCGCAGAGGGTTTTTACTAAGATTTACAGCCTTATTTAGAAACGAACATTGCTCATATAGGAAAAACATGTGAGTTTTCGATACATACAATGTATTTAGGCATTCTAATCCTAAACTATTCATTATAAGTTTATTAGAAGATTACAATTCTTTATCGTTTACGAATAAGTACTGATTAAAGACTTTTAATGTTTAAGATTCACAACACTTATCATATTTCCAAATTTGAATGTTTGTCATCACAAAATTTGCGCAACACAACCACTCTATTTAAAGCAATTTTCAAGTTTCAACAAAAGTGAAACCGATAATTTCAATAAAGATAATAAGTTACATATTCAATAAGTATACGAATATAAAAATTTATCTTTAAGTTCATTTTTA